ATATGATTGTAAACTTTGAGTTGAAATACAAATATTTTGTACTTGATTTGTTTTCTCAAAATCTAACAATAACATGTGGTAGATTCGTAGCCTATATGTAGGATAAATCTTTAGTAGTATATATACTTATAGATGTATAACTTTAATACAGTTTGGAAGAGAATTGTGTGTACATGAAGCTCTCTATTTAACTTACTTTTTCAGATCACTTCAGCTTTTTTCCTTCGAAATAGCTTGAATTCCTCTTCTCGTTGGCTATAAGTTGCTGAAAAAAATTAAATTCGTACTTTATTCTATACGCATAAATAAGTAATCTTGCCAACATGACCCCAAAGTAATTACCAAAGGACATATTATAAAAAATTATTTTAAAATAATATATTCTTTTCATAATTTTTTTTGTCTAAAATATATATTTTTCTTTTAAATAAATTTGTTTTTTTTGCCTATGGCATAAACTCAAGTTTTATTCATAAAAAAAATTATACTCTACACCACTCAAATTGAACATGACACCCTTACTTTTATTTTGAATACTTATTTTATCTTTTAAGTAAAATAAAATATTTTTTTGATAATTTTTATATTTTATATTTGTTTTTTTTTAATATTGAAATATCGATATTTTATATTAGATTTTTTTAATATACGATATAAATTATAAAATTTTTAAAATATTTGATTTCATACTCGATTTTTTAAAGAGTGCATAGGGTTTTGTTACAAAATTCAGTAAATTAATTTGGAGCAATTATTTAAAAAAATAAAAAATTAATAATATTTAAGTTTTTTATGGGTCCAAATTAAATAGGGTGGCTGAATTTTTTAAAAAATCAAAATAAAGTCATAATGTTTTTTTTTTCCACAAAATTAATGATTATATACTGAATTTTTCAAAATTAAGGGCTCTGGGGCATCTGAATTTTGATGAAGATATTCATGTATATTTCTTAGAATCAAATAATCAATGAGGAGTTATTTAGGAAATGAAATAATTTATGGACTAACAAAAAGTGTGATTCATGTAATAGTTAAGCACTGCTAGTTAAGATAAGCCACTAAAATGAGAATTTAATTTTTATCCTATACTTTTGACTTCAAAGTTCAATCAATGTGATTTATAAGAGACTTGAACGTTTTTTCGCATATGCAGAGTTAAATCATCTTTTGTTTACATGTATGAGGTAAAAGATGAATATGTAAATAGGGAAACAAAAAGGGTGAGTGGGTTAACGAATCATAATACCTCATATTTATATGCTTAAGGAATTTATTTACAAGTTTAATGTAAAAGAAAACATGTAACATGAATACATGTAGAGTTTCATTAAAAAAATAACAAACTAAAGAGTCTAGGTATTAGTGGAGGAGCTAAACTCCACCAACAAGGCAAACTTAAATTTAAATTTTAGCTACATATATACTCACATTTAAAGTCTGTTTGTCTATTTACCAACAAAAAAAATTATGTTTGTCAACTCTTAAGAATTTTTTTTTATTAAAAAATGATTTTTTTTATATATGTTTAAAATTTAATTTCTATGAGAAACAATTTTAAACTAGTAAAAATTGTTTTAACATATTTTTTATAAATAAAAATAAATAAATATATATTATTAAAAATCAAAATATATTTAATATATATATATATATATATATATATATATATATATATATATATATATATATATATATATATATATATATATATATATATATATATATATATATATATATATATATATATATATATATATATATATATATATATATATATATATATATATATATATATATATATATATATATATATATATATATATATATATATATATATATATATATATATATATATATATATATATATATATATATATATATATATATATATATATATATATATATAATGGACACAAAAGGTGAAGAGTATAAAACAAGAGGCGGGTAGGCGATAAAAGAGGTACTAAATAACAAATAAAACAGAAACAAAACGAAACAACAACTAAAAAAGAAAAATACCAATAAAATACGATCAAAAACGAAAAACACCAATACAAAGAGAGAAAGGTCGTAGGAAGGCGAAAATCAAAAGCATCAGAAGGAAAGACAAGTTAGATCTCCTTAACTAAGGACCTGCAAAAAAATGATATCAATCTCCAATTAACAGCAAACACACACCAATATGAGGTCGAAGACACTCATGTTGCTATTGGCTCATATGATAGATAGGATATCATGTCAGGCCGAGACATAATAGGAATTTCCCACAGGCCTATCAAGATACTATTTATGAGTCAAAAAGATGCTCATATCTTCTATGTCTTCCGTTGATACCAACTTAAATGAGAATTTTATATCATTTCGAGATTTCAAGATTTCTAGATCTACCAAACTTTATCTTACCAAATCATAAGACACCCCCTAAGCTTAGACGGAACAGCAAGAGGGAAAAACATCTAAAAAGGATCAAGAAATCCATGGGTAAAACTACATACCTCTCCCTAACTAATTGAAAATCTTATACCATCCATAAAGTCACTACATCACAAGTCACACAGATGAGAGGACGACTTTACAAACCTCTAACAAAAAATGGATAAAGATGTCATCCAAACCAATGAAGATCCCTTTTTAAGTAAATTCTCTATGGTAGGAATCCTTTCTTGCAGGAGTTTCCAAGTGAAATAGTTACTTTAGAAGGGGTATAGTTGCTCCAAACACTAGAAAGAATTGAATCCAATAAAGAGACTTGGAGAACTCTATGAAACTCACAAAAGAGAATAAAAGACTACATGGAAACCACAAAATAAGAATTATCTTTAGAGTGACTCCGCCTCCACTTATCAGGTTGAAAAAAGGGATAAAGTCTCTGACTACTAAGAGAAGATCAAATATCAAAATATGATCATTCTAAAAAAGAAACGATCTTCTCAACTTAAGATTCCAAACCCAACTTTACCCTCTTGTTTATCAACCTCTCCCACCAAACAATTCTTTTGTTTGGAGATAGAAAAAAACCAAGGGAACCTAGCTCTAAGGGAAATATCCCTAACCCAAGGGTTTCTCCAAAACTTAGTGAGAAGACCAGACCCAACTTTCTTAACCATACTATCCTGAAATCAATCTAAGAGGTCATTTCCTTTGACACCGATAAGGAACATCCCACTCCACATGGAGACAAAGAGCAAAGGCATGCAACTCTACCTCCAAAGACAGAAGAAGTCGGAACAACACTATATAAAGAAAACAAAATATCTCTCCAGACCCCTGAATCTCACAAAAGGAACCGCCAATTCCACTTATCCAACAGATCCAGGTTAACCATCCAAAGGTCGTGGACACCAAGGCCCAAAAATGTATTGAGCTTACAAACATCAAAACACCTACCCAAGCAATCTTATAGCCTCTCTAATACCACCTCACATAAACCTCCTTTGAATTTTTACAATCATTTTCCAAACTTTAACAAGCATCTTTAAAAAAGACAAATAGAAGATATGAATTTCATTAATAACAAAATTAAGAAAATCCACACGCCCTCCTATGGAGATATATACGAATACCTCTACGAGTGAAGTCCCCTAGTGATGAAGGGTGGGGGATAGTCAGAGAAAGATAGAGATATAAATGTTGAGAGAGATTTAAGAAAAGATAGAGAAAGTATTTAGAGGGTAAGGGTGCAAGATCCTTCTCTTAATCTATTTTTCTACAACCCCTTTTCTCTTCCTTAATCTCTTTTTCTCTCCATTTTCTTTGCGCACTCTCTCTCACCCTCATATTCTCTATATCACTATCTTTCTCTCACTCACTTTCATTCTTTCACCCTTTATTTCTGAAAAGATGGGGAGAGAGTAACAAAGACTTGGAAAAAGGAAGGAGAGATAGAACAGTATGAAAGGAGAGAGAGAGAGAGAGAGAGAGAGAGAGAGAGAGAGAGAGAGAGAGAGAGAGAGAGAGAGAGAGATGAAAAAAGAAAAGAAATATATATATTGATTGATTCAAAAAAGGAACGAAAGAGAACTATATAGGGTCATGATAGTTAAGAAAAGATGGAGATGAAAGGTGTGATGCGTTTAGGAAAAGATAGAGAGTAACTAGGGGGAGAAGGAGCAAGATCCCCCTCTCAGTCTATCACTTTATACATCTCCCTTTCTCTCTCTCTCTCTCTCTCTCTCACTTTTTCTCTCTTTTTTTCCCTTCCTTTCCCTTCCTCACTCACTCTCCCTTGTATTCTCTATATCATTATCACTCTCCTTTCTCACTCTTCCATATCCCTCTCTTATTCCTCTAAAAGAATAATATTCAAATATTATATACGTCAACGTTTACTTAAAAACTGAAACTAAAAGTGTATACAAAATTTTTTTAGTACACAAAATATATGATTTATTGAAATAAATCTAAATTTATAGAGTTAAAAATATATTTAACTCATCTTAAATCTCTTTAAAATGGTATATTATGGTAAAGAGTACTATAAAATTGAATAATATTCATTGAAAAATAACACCTAATTTAGAAACAGATTAGTTGAGGCTCATATTCAAACTCTCAATATTTCCTTTTATTATTTTTAGTGTCATTGAGTTTTGTTGTGTTTTTAATAATAAAACCTCGTATTATGTCATTAAATAGTAAAGAAGGTTGAATTTGTGTGAAGGTTACTCTTTTCCTAGATATAGAAAGAAACTGAAAAAGGTAACTATTAAAGCATGATGTTTGGAAAAGTAAAAACAAAAGTTCAATGAGAACACACATGCACAACTAGTATTACAATGCAAACGCAACAGTAAACAAAAAGCTGAAATTAAGTTTAAAAAAATCACTTAACTTAATTTTGTTATCCAAAACAAATTCCAAGCTGCTTAATCACCTTATTATAGTCATGTCCACTTGCCTTGCCAACTTGTCACAAACACATCCTATATATACAATAAACACACATCTCCCAAAAACCAAACCAAAAAACCAAACACAACTTTTCCTTTTCCATTCCATTTATGCCCTTATCTCAATCTCCCATGGCTTCTTCAATCCCTCACCACTTCTATCCAAACTACACTCCTGATTTCATAGCAAACCAAGGTTTGATGTCTTCATCTATCCTGGACAATAATACTATGATGTGGGGTTGTCAAGAAAATATCATGCCGGTTTTTGATAATTATGGGACATATGATCAAATTGTGTCACTTGATTCTGATGCTATGTCTTCTGGTACTTGGGTTCCAAATTTCGTCGAGCAACAAGATTTCGCTGTTCCGGCTTTGTTATCGGATTGTAAAGTCGGATTCTATGGTGGAGGATTTCAGAATTTTAATGGAAGATATAGTAACAATAATCAGCCACATGTTGGTCACGAGTTTGTAGAAGATCAATGTTGCGGTTTTGTTGAAGATATTAAACCACTTCCTACAACTTTTCCTAATGTTTCAAGAGATAATTGGGTATGATATCATATACATGATTAATCATCATTGAAATTTTTATCATCTATTATGCGTGTCGATCCTTACGTAGAGATCATGCTAATCTTTTCTCTGATATAAGTGCAATTAAATAATTCTACGATGTAACACACATTAGAGAATTTTATATTGCGGTTAAACTATAGTTATTGTGTTTTATTTTTTATAAACATATAGTTAATTTTTTAAATTTTCTAATGCATTAACAAGCATAGTTTATTTTTGTTAAAATATTTAGGTCATTTGATATCTATAGAAAAACATATATTGTTAAAAAATTTCAACATAGAACAACATATAAATATAATAGACATGTATATTTATATATGTTTATAGATTAATTAATTAATTAAATGTTAATTTGGAATTTATTGTAGGGGATTCAAGGTAATCAAATAGCAGCAGTTGAAGAACCAAATATAAAAGTAGGAAGGTACTCAGAAGAAGAAAGGAAAGAAAGAATTCTTCGATATTTGAAGAAAAGAAATCAAAGAAACTTCAACAAAACCATCAAGGTATTATAATTTATATATATAATTTTTCACACGACTCTTTTTTTATTCATTAATTAAATTTGAATTTAATATAAACAATTATTTGGAATTGAGAATTTCTTCACATGATTCTACAGTATGCATGTCGGAAAACTTTAGCTGATAGAAGAGTGAGAGTGAGAGGAAGGTTTGCAAGAAACAATGAAATATGTGAAGAAGAACACATGGCCACAAAAAAGCTTGAGAATCATCATGATCATATTAATGAAGACTTTTATGGTTCTGATTCATTCCAGTTCCAGGTATAATTTTCATTCATTTGTTGTTTACTGTTTATATGGATATATGAATTAATTAACAAGATTCAATGAATTAATGACAATTCTATCAAAAACAATAAATTAATAACAATGAATGGCCATATACACTAAATTAATTAACTGTTTAATTATTAAAAAAAAACTATTTCATTTTCATCATAATTATTTAAGAAATCACAAATATAAATTACGGTAAAAAAATTTACACTATTGCAAAATCAAAATCAATGTTTAATATATATTATTTTTAAAAATTGCACTAGAAATTAATTATAAAAATTATAAATTTGTATAAATAATTTGAGATTTATTTTATTTTTCTATTTTAAATTTTTGTCACTAACTAAGAAAATTAGTTTCTATATTTTATGTTTAGTTGTGAATATAATTGTGAAAGCACATCCTAAATTATATTCTTAATTGGTGATTAATTTTGCAGTTAAAGAATGAAGAGGAGGATTGGCTTCAAGAAGCCATGGCAAGTTTGGTGTATTTATCTCATTCATCACCAGAAGATATATGACTTAATTAATTAGCATGATGAACAATGCTACATATGATTACTATATAGCTCTTGTGATTAATTATGAGCTTAATTGATTTCTCACAAGGTTTAATTATTATGCTAGCTAGTGTGAAAGGTGAATAGGAAAAGAGAAAGTTTACAATATAGCTAGCTAGTAATTATAAATTAAGTGTATTATTATGTTACTTAATTTTTCTTTGATAATTAATTAAGTACGTAGATATATAAACTCTTAATTGCATGGCAGTGTAATAACCATGTGTTAAAGATTTAATTTTTTTAATTAATCTTTGTTAATTAATTTAAATATGTGGGCCTAGTTAGTTTGACTAGATACTTGTGTTGATTGAAAGATATAATATTCTAATAAAGGACTTTGTTTCAAACAAAAAATAAAATAATTAATAATATATTCCAATAAGAGACTTTATGTTTGAAAAGACATAAATATTCTGATACTCTAGCTTTTATATATGTGTCACAATCTTTGTACTATTTGGGATCGATTATCATTATTATTGATGTAAAACACTCATTGTGATGATTACTAAAAGGCACTAATCGGATTTCAACTTCTCATTTTCTACACGTTTAATAATTACTGTTTTGGAAAATCTTTGGTTTCAATTCAACCTTTCCACTAAGAAACTTTCATATAAGAAGCTCAAATATTATAGGATGAGGCATATTAATACTCTGAAACTTGCTAAAATATACTACTGTGATGTCTTCAATAATCACTTGTAGCCATAAATTTATGTCCGAAAAGAAGCTTTCTTTCTTTTCTTTTTCTTTTAACTCAGCTGTTATAAATAAAAATAGGATGGTACTATTATGATTTTGATTAATCATTAATTTCATATTAATGATATGGATTTCCTTTAATGTTTTGGTAGTTTTATATACAGTTAAATTATTATGTAGCATAGCTATTATATAGTTTTTTTTTTTAAATATAATATTCTTTCTTTTTCTCTTCTCTCTTTTCTCATTTTATGGTTTTCTTACTGATTGAGAAATCGACCAAACTTTTTTTTCTGGGCATCGTTTTAACAAATTGATATGGTGAGTATGGAGAAGAAGATGTCGTCAATAGGGTATGACATTGAAAAATTCACTAGAGTGAATGATTTCGATATATGACGTTTGAAGATGCAAGTCTTTCTTGTTCAACATGGTTTGGTAGAAGCGTTGAAAGGATCAGAAAAAATGGATGTTGCTCTAAGGACGAAGGAGAAGATTACAATGATAGATAAAGATCACAACATCATCGTATTGAGCCTTGGTGATAAGGTTCTCCGATAGGTTTCAAAAAAGAAAAATGCAGTGGTGTATGGACGAAACTCAAATGCTTGTACATGATCAAATCGTTGGTCAATCTCCTCTACCTGAAGCAAGCTCTATATTCAATCAATATGAGTGCAGACAAAGTATTGACTGAACAACTAGATATGGTCAATAAGATGATTCTTGATCTGGAGAATATTGAGGTTACCATCTGTAATAAAGATCAAGGGTTGTTGTTGTTGTGTGCTTTATTTTGATCTCATTCTCACTTCAAAGAAACACTCTTGTATGGAAGAGAGTCCATTACCTTTGAAGTGGTTCAGTCAACGTTGTACTTGAAGGATTTGAATAAAAGGAATGAGCACAAGTCATCATCTATTGGTGAGGGATTGTTTGTAAAAGGAAAATTTTCGAAGAATGATGGTAAGTTTGAGAAGAAGAAGGGTAAAGGTCCACATAATTCTTATGGTGGTGATGCTCCAGCTATAAGGTGTTACCATTGTAAAAAGGAAGTTCATACCATAAAAGTGTGCCCTCAAGGGTTGAAGAGTTACGAGGATTGGAAGGACAATAGAAATGCAGCCATTGTTCAAGATGATTAAGAATCATCTGATGTACTGGGGGTTTCTAACAGAAATTCTAGCAAGGAATGAATTAAGGATTCAGGTTTTACTTGGCATATGACTTCAAACAAAGATATGTTTGGAGAAATATATGATCAAGATGGTGGATCAATGCTGCTAGGAAACAACAAAGCCTGCAAAATTGCAGGAATTGGATCTGTCAGATTCAAATTTCATGATGAGTCAATAAAGTTATTGGTTGGTGTCAGGTATGTACCCAATCTTAAGATAAATTTGATTTCTCTTGGTAAATTCGACAAGACAGGATATGTTTGAAGGTAAAGGAAACACAAGAAAGGGGGTTCGAATTGGATTTCTAGAATGGAACTTTTTCTCTACCCAAGACAACAAACAAATAACTTAGAATAAAAATAATGAACATAATTTTTTTAATCTTGGTTCGTTGTTAACGAAGCTACCTCCAGCTCATCCACCAAGGTGATTTCGCCTTTTCACAAGGACTTAATCCACTATAACTAAACTGATTACAACCATAAAGACTTATTGTCAATGTTTTCTTGTGAAATCTGACTATAACCTAGTCTCTCAAAGAATAAACAACTCAAAAGTTTAGATACAATAATGTGTTTACAAAGATGCTTCTATAAAGAAGATTACATAAATGAAATACAATGATTAACACTAAAGTGTTTGATAGCAAGTGTATGAACAAAAGTTCCTTGCTTGATACTTTTCCTATTTCACAGTATTGTAATATTTCATGTTCAAGATCTTGAGAAAATGTTGTTCAACTTCTTGAAAAATCGTTATTGTTCCATTCTTCAAGTCTTATTTATATAGGAAAAGAAAAGATTCATTGAAGGTGAAGATGTGAAGTTTGATTTTCAATCCTTAGTTTGATTTTTTAAGACAATATCATACCCAAACATGTTTATCCGGAAATACAACTATTTCTTCAGTGACATCTATTATCTTTACTATTTTAATTGCTTTTGTTGCGGTTGCAACATTACAATTGCGGTCGCAGCATTACAAGTATTGTGGTAGAGGCATTACAATTATGATGTTGGAGTTGCGGCATTACGAGCATTGTGGTCGGGAGATTTGATTATTTTCTCTGAACTCATTTTTCTACAATTATATTCCTCATTGTATTTATATGGTTATCCATTTTTCCTATTATTATTGCAGTTCTGTCAATAGTACTGTAATCATTCTTGATAGCATTGTTCCTGATAGAAAAGATTAAATTGAGGTTGCATTTTTCTCTCATGTATTGTACCCATGATGAAACCAGTACAAGATGCATATGCATTCTTGTGTCATATCATTATGTTATGCATAAAGACGATTTCATTTTGGTATAGAAGCTACTTACATATATATGATCTTAGAGGGGAGATACTCGGTGGTACCGTATCTCATTGTTTTAGTCTAAATGGGAGTCCACAAAACAATGGTTCTAGATAATTCTTGGAAAGATGGAAAGTTATTCACCATCCATAAATGGAGCAAATAGATGACAAAAGGGTATTTTATTGAAGAAATATAAGAGAATGAGAGTGGACTGTGAACTGACTTTTCTTTATAGAATTTGTCCAACTAACTTTTACAATGAGATACAATGTAATTTATATAGAGTCACATAATAGAATATTAAGAGTTACAACAATAATTATGTCTAGGTCCCTAGGAAGTAAATTTATCACTGCCTAAGAGAATCTGACTTTTAATTTACCTAAGACAGATTTGAATTTAACCAACAAAACTCTCCCATAAATTTAAATATTCCTTCGACCCTCATCCCAAGAATTTTCTTGCCTCTGTCGAAAAGCTCCTTCGACAGTGGTTTTGTGAGAATGTCTGCTGCTTGATCTTTGCTTGCAACATGCTTTAGTTCGATGCTTCCATCCTTCACATGTTCTCGAATGAAATGGAATCGAACATCAATGTGCTTACTAAGTTCATGGTTGACTGGATTCTTCGCCAGTTAAATTGCAGATTTGTTGTCAACTCGAATCATTTTTGCAGCCTCCTGCTTCGATTCCATATTGCTTAGCAGTCTTCTCAGCCATATTGCATGGCATACACACCAGGATGCTGCTACATACTCTGCTTCGCAGGTGGAAAGAGTTACAATGAGTTGCTTCCTTGACAGCCAGGTGAAAGTAGTGTTTCCCATGAAGAATACATAGCCTGAAGTTCCCTTTCGATCATCAATGTCACCACACCAGTCGCTATCAGAGTATCCAGTTAACTTGTATTCTTCTGCTTTCGAATAGAACATTCCAAGTGACACAGTTCCTTGGACATATCGAAGGATTCTCTTCAAAGATTTCCAGTGTGCAACAACTGGTTCTTCCATGAAGCAGCTCATAATTCCAACACTCAACGAAAGATATGGCTTTGTGCATGTGAGGTATCGAAGACTTTCCACCAAGCTTCAAAATATGTTTGCTTCGACTCGCTCTCCCCCATCAAATTTCGAAAGCTTTTCTCCTGGCTTCATTGGTGTCGAAATAGGATTACAGCTGTCCATCTTAAATCTTTTTAGGATATCTTTTGCATACTTTTCTTGTGAGATGAAGATTTATGTTTATTCCTGTTGAACCTCCAGACCAAGAAAATATTTCATCAGGCCTAGGTCAGTCATTTCAAATTCTTTTGTCATTGTGCTTTTGAACTCTTCGATCATCTGATTGTTGTTGCTCAAGAAAATCAAGTCATCAACATAGAGAGTAACAAGCAGTATTTTCTCTTTTTTATTTTTCACATACAAGGCATGTTCGAAAGGACATTGCTGAAATCCATTTTCTTTGAAGTATGTGTCAATTCGAGTATTCCATGCTCGTGGTGCCTGCTTCAGCCCATAAAGTGCCTTCTTCAGCTTTAGCACCTTTCCTTCATTTTCAATTTTCATGAACCAGGGGTTTGTTCGATGTAAACTTCTTCTTCGAGCATGCCATTCAGAAAAGCTGACTTAACATCCATCTGATGTATTTTCCATTTGTATTGAGCAACTTGAGATATGAGCAGTCGAATAGTCTCCATTTTCGTAACAGGCGCGAAGACTTCATCATAACCGATTCCTGCTTTCTGCCTGTATCCTTTCGCCACAAGTCGCAC